TGCCTATTTATAAGAACAAATATTTGGATAAAGATTAAAATTTAAATTATCACAATAAAATAAATAAAATTACAAACCTGCGCTATTTCGTCATCTGATTCTTGGACTTCGATTGATGAAGCTTTGTTTTTGCCTCTCAATTTTGATATAACTTTTACTCTTTTCTTGGTCGAGAGGAACGATCATCATCATCAGCTAATGAATCGTCATCCTCATCAATTAATTATTGTTCTGATTTGTATCGATCAAATTCTGTTTTTATCTTATTCTTAAGTTTTAAAAGTTCTTTATTAACAAATATAAGAGCTTCATTTTCTACTCTTAATCATTTTATTTCCATATTTAGACAATCTACATTATCACAAATACTTAATCTGCTCAATAACAATACTATGCCATTTTTGCCAAAAGCGAGTTTTCTCTTTTCACCATTCAACTTCTTCTCTTGGTCTTGTAATTTCTAGACATACTAGTAGATTAAATTGATGATAAAATGACATGACAATGTAACAAGCCAAACAATATACCTTCGTGAGAATAATTGATAGGTTCCATAGGCATATTTCTAGTTATGCTACGAACAGGTACATTACTCTTATTATCATCAATTATTTTGGTGAAATCTAGTGCCCAAAGGCCATACACTCTCCCTTTGAGATTTTTGACAGTCTCTAGCATTGATTGATTGGTATTAACTGTATTTCATTGATTATTACCCTCCAAAGTTAGGATATAATGACTTGTATTTTGTTGTGAAGCTGAAGTGCCTGAAGCTAGTGAGGTACAAAGAGTGTTTGTTATATTATTTCATGAGGCCAGAGTAGTACAAAGAGTTTTTGTTATATTATTTTGTGAGGCTGGAATGTTTAAAGTTGGCTGTGTATTTTGTTGTGAGACTAGGGAGTCGTTATTCTCCAAGATTGAAGCATGATAATGTGTATCTTGTTGCGAGGCTAAAGTGCTTGATGTTGATGAAGTACGAAGGTATTTGTTATAATAGTTTGCTGTGAGGTAACGAGAAAAGAGTTTTTGTTATTATGACGCGTCATCTTTTGACGAGTCATTGTTTCTATTATTGTTGTATTGTAGAAATTGAAAATACACAAAGAAAGATAATTTGAGTATAAATCAGAAAACGATTCTTTTTATATAAAAAATTTAAACTTTCAGTAAGTTTTAGTAACAAAATAAACTTCAAATTTTATTATACTTGAAACAAAACATAATTAAAAATTAACTTATGTATCTTCTTGCCTACAAAATCGAATTGTCTTAATTGCATGCAAACTGACTTGGATATCTTAAAATAAATGTATATAAACGTTAAATATTAAAAATATCAAGTTTTTATTTGTTTTTCAAAATGTATAAAAAAAGAAAAAGGTCAAAGGTTGCATGCTATTACAGTAAATGCGATGGCACGTTGGTCAATCTATGAGTAATGCGTTATTATGACAATCATCACGAATAAGATCAAACAGTTTTTACCCAAGAAGGATTGGCTAATTTATCATTGGATGAACAAAGAAACGAATTCCAGAAAGATGACTATGAAGAAGAGAATCTAAATGAAATACGGCAAGAAGACCATAAGGAGGAAATGAATCACCACCCTTGAAGGCGTAAAAGATATACAAATTATCTTATATCAAACCTCAAATGAAATCTTATCATTGATGATAATGTTTACGATGATTCAGAAGTAAATGAGAATGGAAGCAGTGAGAGCGAAAGTCAAAGTTTGTTAAACAAAGATTATAACGATATTGCTGAAATTTTCAAAGACTATTCGTGCCATCATTTATACCATTTCAAAAGACATATAACACACAATCGACAAATAATAATAGCTCCTCATGGATATTGTTATGGATAATGAGCTTTTGTGTAAAGTTTAATTTACTAGAGACAGCTACAGAGTCACTCATAAAGTTTATGAAGCTTGTATTAAAAGAAATTGGTAGTCCCAAATTTGATTCTTTTCCTAATTCGTTTTATTTAGCAAGAATGAAGCTCAGCTTAAAAGATAACTTTCATAATTTTGCAATATGCCCAAAATGACACAAATTATATAATGAAAAAAAAGTCGCTGAATTTCAGAAAAATGGAAATCTTTCTGTTATGAATTGTAATCACATCAAATTCTCAAATTCAGCAACTCGTAAATCAAAAATATGCTAAATGAACTTATCTAAACAAGCAAAATTATTTAGTGATCAAATCATAAACAAGCCAGAGCTAGTTTATCCATTTGTTGAAATTCGCAAACAATTGGCAGCTTTATATCATCAACCTGGCTTTGAAGCTTCATTGCGTTATTGGGTAAATAGGCTAATATAGATAATATTTCAATAGACATATATGATGGGCAAGTTTGGCAAAATTTTAAGAACACTACTAAAGAAGTTTACCGTATATTTTTCGAGAAGTCACCGACTCACATCTTGGTCTGATGCTGAATCTTAATTGGTTTCAGCCTTACGAAGGAACTATTCATAGTACCAGTGTAATATATGCTGTTATATGTAATTTACTATGGGATATACATTTCAAATGTGAAAATATGCTAATTTTAGGCATCTTATCAGGCTGAATGAAGTTAGTCTACACAAAATTAACCATTATTTGACTCCGATTGTTGATGAATTAGAGTCACTTTGGAGTGGAGTGACTCTGAATAGCACATATGAATGTCCTGATGGGAAAAGTGTTTGTGCGGAATTGATCTTGATCTCATGTGATATACCTGCTGCAAGAAAAATTTGCGATCACGTCTTAGCATTAGTATCATGTTACATATGCGAAAAAAAGCCAATTATGAAAATAATTAACATGATTTTGCAGGTATGTCTGATATAGATAGATGGTTTACGACTCAGGATTTAGCTCAGCATCGTCAAGATGCTATTGGTTGATGAAGATGCAATTTGAACGCTGTGAGGAAATGTTTTGTTAAAAATACTAGAGTTAGATGCTTTGTTTAACTTATTTTGACCCAATTCAGTTTTTAACCATTGACCTAATGCATTGCCTATTTTTGGATATCATGAAATAGATAATCAAAAGAATTTGGATCGATAAAGGTGTTTTAACGCCAAGTAACCTAAAAAATGTCTAAAGAAAAATGAGCCAATTCCAAATTCCATCTGATTTAGGTCAAATCCCTCAGAAAATTGACTATGAGAAAGGTTTTTCAAACTTTACGGCAGATCAATGGCGAATATTCTTCACTATTTATGCAACTGTGTCACTTTGGAAACACCTTTCATCTAAAGATAAGAAAATTCTTACACACTTTGTTAGAGTTTGTTCATTTTTAGTGAATCAGATTTTGGAACACGATCTCATGACTGAGGCTCATAATAGGCTGATCAAGATAGTAAAGTTAATTGAAGAGCATTATAGTTGAGATAAAATAACACCAAATCTTTACCTTTTACTTCACTTGCATAAATGCACGCATAATTTTGGATCTCTTTACTCTTTTTGGTATTTTCATTCGAGCGTATGAATGGTGTGTTAGATGAGTGGGTTTTTAAACTTACTACCAATCTAATAATCTTCAATGTTTCTTTAAATTATTTTTTTTGTTAGGTTCTTTGCAGAATAGCCATCGACAAATTGAACCTGAAATTATACGTCGATTAATGTTTGACGCTCAAATAAGCGAAATTATGAGTTCTGGTATAGAAAGAAAAGGCTTTGAACTATTGAATAATAGGCCTTCGGTTGGATCTTTATCTGCAACTGACGAGTTTTCTTCTGATAAGATCTATCGATTCTGGCTTAACTTTAGAAATATTCAAGAATCAAAAATTACCAGAAGTGAAAGAATGCTAGGCGAAATATTGAAATCTTTTTCTGAAAATATCACACTTTTGGTTACAATGTTAGATTTAATGGTCGAATATTATACGGTGGCTTATAAATCACTTAAATTTCGTAAACCTGAAAGAAGTTCAATAGATAATATAACTATTCGTATAAAAGTGAATAAATTTGAAAGGTGTCAGATTAGATCTGAAGTTTTCAGTTCAGTAATATTTTACAGCATGCAAAAAGCTATTATGTTTTGGCAAAATTCATGACAGATAATGGTTATGTTGATTGCTATCCTGAACAAGTCCAATATTACTTTACTCATGTGGCTGACTTACTGAATGGCTCTTTAACACATTATTTAGTATACATCAGATGATATCGTCATGCTGATTTGACAAATATATAATATTATTTTAGCACTGAAAATACTTGTAATATTGAGTTATGGTGCAATGGATTTTACCCTAAAGGTTGTGACTGCATAATACCTGTGCATTATATTCTTGGTCGATTCATTTTAGCAAAATACAAAGTTTCAAGTTATCGTAATGCAGTAAAATATCTTGCTATCAACCCAATTAACAGAAAATATCATATTTAAATAATTTAAATGATGATTTTATTTATATTTATGACTTTTTATAATAACATTTTATCAAATTTATAAAATTTATAATTAAAAATATTTCAATTAAAAATAAACTATAAAATAGCTAAAAATAGACTATAAAACAAGCAAGTCTAATTTTAATCAGTTTTTAAATAGCTCTCAATGCTACCGAAAGTTGATAATAGACTAAAAATAAGTGAGCCTAATTATAGTTAGATTTTAATCGAATCTTAATGCCAATCGAAATTTTACCAAAACTTTTGCCAGCATTATTGAAAGTTAACCGAAATTAATGATTACTGATTTTTCTTATTTCAATTAGTATAATACTTTATTTAATTTATATTTAAATAATTTTTATTTTTATATATTTCATATATATTATAAATTTAATATAATTTTCATTTAGGTTATTATACTTCTTCTTTATGAATTTTTAAATCTTCTTATTTTTTCTTTTTTTTTATTGTTTTATAAAATTGTTGAATTTTTTTCTCTTCTTAATATTTAATATAATCAATAAAAATTTCTTTTATTTTTTTTTGAGATGCATTTTTTTAAATATTTTTTTTGAATTTCTTCTGATTCAGATTCTTCAATTTTTTTTTATATTTGAATATTAGTCAAATTTATTTAAAGTTCTTATAAATTTAATTATAAAAATTTTTTTAATATAAAATTTAAAAATATAAATATTTATAATAAAATTAATGAATAGTTAAATTTATATTTAATATTTTTTTTATTTAAATATTTTTTTTCTTCATTTTTTTAATGTTTCTTTGAGCCTTTTATTACTAATCCTATTTTATAATTAGTTTTTATATTGTTTTTAGATTCTTTTCATAGAGATTTTCTATGTATTTTACATATTTTATATTTTTATATACAATTTTATTGTTTATTACTAATATATATTTATTATTATTGCAAAGATTTGCTATTGAAGTAAAAATACATTTTTGGTTTTTATCTAACTTTTGTTATTAACTATAGAAATTAAAATAATTTGAAAAGAAAAAAAATTATAGATTTAAATCAAAAATGATATTAATTTAAAATTTATAGCTTTTTTATCAAAAGGATTTCTTATTTTTGATAAGTGAATTACTTTAAATTACAAACTTGAAAAAAAAAGAAATATTTTTAATTTTATTTATTATAACTAATTTTCTCCTTTTTTTCCTTTAATTTCCTTTTATTTCTCTAATTAAGATTTATTATATCATTATATTATATTTAATTTAGATTTATTATATAGTAAAAAGTATTTATGTATTAACATAAATTCTTTATTAAAAGGATTTATAATTTAAAGAAATATCTTACTATAAAATAATTTGCTAAATAAATCTAATAAAGTATTTTGCTAAATTAAACCAATTGTATTTTATTATATCTATTATATTAATTTATTTTGTTTATTATTTACTATTTGATATCTTATTATTTATAATTTTGCCATATAATTTTATATTATTTTATTATTTTGTTATCTAATAAATAATTTTTGTAATAATATTTAAAATAAGATTTAAAGATTTTGAATTAATAAGAAAATTATTCTTATTATTATAAAAAAGATCAAAATTATATAAAAAATTTTTTCAATTAAATAATAAAATTATACTT